TTACCCGGGCGAAAAGTTTCCATACCATCCCATCCCCCACCCCCCCCCCCGCGCCCGCCCCCCCCCCCCCCCCACCAAAAAACCCCCCCCCCCCCCCCCCCCCTGAAGCATTCTCCTTCATCCTCCAGCCTGGAGTGTCTCTCAACCTTTCCCTCCACATTCTCGAGCAGGATCTTGTTCGAAGGTCTCCATACCCCCAGGTAAGCTTCCCACCATCAAAGCATTGATGACATGTAACATGTACAACACTGCAACATCAGATGAAGAAAGACTTACAAATTTTATCCAGCAACATCACCCAAGACTTCTAACTTCTCTTCGGCCTGTTTTGGTGTTCCAAGGCGGGTAGCAATAAGCTACTGCTTCTCTACGGCACGATGTCCATCATGATCAAAGTAGTTGTTGCGATCGCCTTTATGGCTTTCGCAACCGCAGCTGCTTCTGACCAGGATGGCTCAGCGGCCGTGGATTGGAAGCACACGCCTAACGTTGGTATCCAGGTTAACCTCGTGCTCCGAGTGCTCTTTGCCATCATCGGCACCGGGCTATGTTGGCCACCCCTTCGGACTCTATGGCACTATGTTGATCTCCCGGGAGTTACACTCATCATAGTAGTGGCGCTAATGAACCTCTTCGCCGTCCTAAATGCTATGATTTGGAGCAATGACAACTGGGACGACTGGTGGGACGGAAAGGGACTATGCGATGTACAAGTATATCTGTCGACGCCGATGAAGACCATCTACGCGGCTACTATCTTTGTAACCGTCTATGAGCTGTCGCAGAAATTTGACGCCAGCCGAGTGATAATACTCAACTCTCGACAGGACCGAAACCGAGAATTGAAACAAGCTCTTGTCATCTTCGTGGTTCCGTTCATCCAGTTGGTCATGACGTACTTCACTCTATCACAGCGGTACAAGGTCGGCACGCTTGTCGGGTGTATCGCTGAGTACGACAACAGCTGGCCCAAGATTATATTTTTCGATGTGCCGAATCCAATCTTTGTGGTCTTGTCCATCCCCTTTACCTGTGAGTATATATAAGATCGTCAAGGATTACTTACCCTTACCCCTTAAGTACTGGAGAAGAGAACGACTAACGTGGACTACAGTCTGGTCCTATCTACGCTATAGAAAATACTCTAGAAACAGCCAAATAGCAATTGGGTCCAGCAACCAGGCCGTAGCCCGGCGTGTTCGGCTACGCCGTCGCCTATACAATGTCACGGCGTCAATCATGCTTGTCTATGCCCCGATATCATTCATCTTACTAGCCCAAAACATTCAAAAGGCAGTTAAATCGCCACCCGCGGCGTATGACTTCCGTCGTATACACGACGACGCAGACCCGTACCCATGGAACTCTGTTACATTTGTGCCATCGTGGAACCTGGAGTGGCTCGAAACGAACCAACCGTGGTTCGCGATTTTGACCACGGTGACTATCATTGGTTTCTTCGGCACAAGCGAAGATTGCTTCCCCGTATACCGTAGGTATATGGTATGGCTGGGCTTAGGACGGTGCTTCCCGCGCCTCCGACAGCAGGAGATTCCTCCTAGTGAACCTCGCTTTATTGATGACCCTGACGAATTGCTTCGTAACGGAATCGAGCTTGTGGAAATGGGCGGCGTAAATAGGGCGGTGACAGAGTAAGAGTCTCGTTTTTTCTGGTGAACGTTGAGTTTTAGAATAAGAAACTAACCACCCTCTAATCCAATAGGCGCAGAATACCTGCCGATATCCATCAAGTCTCGAGCTCAGGTTCTGATATCAACGAGATTCTATCTCCGCGCAGGCCAGTGACACCGCAGCAGCAGCTGCCGCCACCCTCGGTGGCTTCATCACCACCGCCGTCGCCGTCTCAATTCCCGATGCCCCCGTTACAACGCCCGCTACCTATGCCGATTGATCGATTGGACAGCGTAAGAAGGAACATAAATATGCCAGGAAGTCCCCTCGAACGTGTTGTCATCCAAGCTCTTATCCCGGCGCGACGCTCATCACTACAAGGACAGCAGCTCCCCTCGCCTTTCCGTGCGCCAGTAAGTAGACACCCGCGCGTACCCCACAGCTATCTCTCGAGCTTCCACCGAGACGACTCGTCCGTCGCCGGCCCATCCCGTTCCCACGCCCGCACGCACTCCGAGCGTTCCGATTCCCAGCCGATCCTCTCAGCAACCGCCGAGCACGTCACGGAATCTCCCCGCACAGCAACACCCGCACGCCGCCAGGTATCGCAGGAGGCCGTGCAGCCGCGGGAGCTACTCGACGACCAGTCGAGCTGGAGCGGAACCCGACGACTTACCGCCGACAACGTAGTCTGGCCATTCTTCTCACGCACCACGTCGACGTCCTCGATAACCCGACCCCGAGAAACCGCCAACGCTATCGCCGCGGCCAACGAGAGCCCAGTCCGCTCGACAGACAACAACTTCGTCCGCGTGCAGATCACCGGACCCTTCTCGCCATCGCTGCCGTCGCCGCCCCCCCCCGCAGAGCAGCGAGGAAGAGGCCGAAGAATCCCGCGAGAGCTGCTCAACCGGGTTGGACGGAGCGCTCCCAGAAACGGAAACAGTAACGGAAACTAAGTATCTACTACCCAGGAGAAGAAGGAGACAGTGAAAGTCCATGAGCCGGATTGAACGGTATACTTCTAGAAAAATAACAGCTAGTCCTCTGCTAATGAGAAGCACAACAAGAGAGCTGATGGATCGGAATCAAAAGCAACACTGCTGGAAACGATAGCTAATCATCTACGAAGGAAGAAGAAAAGAATATAGAAATCTCCTACCAAAGGACCAAAAAAGAAACAAGCAAACAAACAAACAAAAAAAAACCAGGAAAAAAGGGGGATGGATAGACTCGCGTCACAGGATCGTCGAAAAGGATAGGGGTTAATACTTTGCGTTGACGGGGGTGTAATTAGATACGAGATCGAGAGGAGCCGTACTGTTCGTCCAATACGTAGCAGTCGGTGATCAAGGCCACGCCTTGTTTAAACGAGATGTGAAGCCCCGTCAAACTTCGACCAGAAGAAAGCCGTACGTACGTACACCTTGCTTCTTGCATAGGACATTAGTCCTCCACGATAATCCTGTCTGCTATGTAGAGAAGTGCGCTCTGCTACTACTAATAACTACTCGAGTCAGAGCTAGCAAATTCCCGAATTTGATTTAATAGAAGAACAAAACGTAGGCGCAAATACACGTATAACTAAGTGAAATATTGCGGTATGCTTATTATTGACAGTTGCTAACGTCTCTATCTCGATACACATCGTCCGCTCCAGAGCCTTCGCAGGCAGGATGTCCTAATTCTGGTCATCGTAAGAGTAAATTTATAAGTGATGCCTGATCTGTCCGTTTCGAGTCCTCTGGGGACTATTCTGTCTTGGTTGCTCATTAACTTTACTGAAAGGCGTGAAAAATCAATGTTGGTACACCTGCAACGCCGCGCCATGCTGCGATATTAAGCTAGCGAATCCGATGAAGGCCGGTAATCAAAGAAAAGAAAAGAGACTCGGCTCTGATAATAGATACATGATTAGAACAAATAGTAAAAGTGTAGGAAGTATGCTTGGGTATCTTCGTAATTCGTACAGGCCGCGATGGGTCGAGTCCGATTAAATAAGGTATGAAGTGGAAACGAATTTGTACAGTGGGTTGGGTTTCATGAAGAACGGGGAGTTTGCTGTTATGCCTCGATGGGTGGCACATGTAATACAGCTGGCTGAGGTTCGACTGGTAAATTTGGGCCGGACCTTGACGCCGACGCCTCGGTTGAAGCAGGTGCTATCTCGGGATCAGGAATTTGAAAGTCGAGCTAAAGGATGGTCAGAATATTTCAAAGTGATATAAGAGAAGAATCTAAACTCACATTCATATATCCCGTACGTCTCAAGGAGATGATTTTGGGAGCAATTGTGCCCTCGTCTGAGCCTACTGTCTTCTCCATCTCCGTATTCCATTTGTCGATCCAATCCTCCAACTGACGCAATCTCATCTTGGTATGTGTAAGGCCTAAATCGTCCCATATCCAACCCGTAAGCAAGCCTAATACGCCATCGAGTATGTTTCTCCAGTTATAGGGGCTAAAGATAGGTATGAGGTCTCCGTTGAGCTTTTCGATGACCCGGCGGAACTCCTGTTCTGATACACCCGCCGGATCTAGAATTTCCGGGTAGAGATTCGAGAAGGTGGGTGCTAAGTCCCCTTCTACTAGCCAATCTCTTCGGATGCGTATAATCCGCGTACTCGCATATTCCGGAGAATTGATGGGTACATGGGGATTTAAATGTGGATAACACGGATGCTGAGGTCCCCATTCTTCGCCTAGATCTGGTTGATCGGGGTCACCCAGAATAGAGGAATTGCTGGAGGATATGCCCGAGATCATGCCGGGTGGAAGTGATATATTTGATCCATTATGTCGGTGGTCTAGAACTGAGGGTCCTCTCTCTAGGTCTTTAGAGAACGACCTCCTCTTGGAATCATCAATTCCCATTGGGGGCATGGTGGCCTTCCCCTTTCCCTTGTCGAGCTTCTGATTGGTGCTTTCGGACGTATCGGGTCGGACAAGCCCAAAGCTTATGGCTCGCGCCCGCTTGGTAACACTTTGACCACGCTTCCTCAAACCAGTGAATTTGGCCCTTTCGGCCTTGGGTTTGGGTTCCGACGGTCCAGCTTCGGTCTCCTGTGGAGGATTGGAAATGCGCTTGCTGTCGTAGGAGTGCCGAAGCGAAGGAGGAAGGCTTATCCTCTTATCAAAACTGGTTCTACCCTCGAGATGTGGACTGGCCCGTGCTGATTTATCTGCGAGTGGAAGGAGAGGATAGTCGCCTGCTCCAAAGCCAATAGGCTCAGATGGGTCTGATGAAACTTGGATAGTAGGATGGTTGACGGGCACGGAAGGGGGAGGCGGGGTGGATGGACGGCGTTTGCGAGACTGCGGAGGGGGTCGCGGCGTTCGAGATGGAGGAACTCTTGGAGTCGAATTAGTAGGATTCCAAAGACGACCAGGGCCAAATCGACGCGGTAGATTATAAAATGAGGCAGAAGCAGAAGCAGAGGCAGAAGCAGAGGCGGCCACCCGATTTTGGAAAGGCGATTGATGGATGCGATCGATTTGTCTGGGGGTCCCTGTGGCCAGTAAATTCCTTCGGGGATTAGTTGGTTGTCGCTGTTGTGTGGTGGTGACTACGGCAGGATCTGGGACCGTAACGGTGGGATATTCAGGGCGCTGAGATGGCGAATTGACGGGGGCATTTGCCTGCTGTACATCTAGGGCGGTCGGTAACGGGTTCGCAGAACGAGTGTCTGCGTGCGAAGCCGTTTGAGATGAGAAGAAGAAATGGCCGCCTTGACGGCCGGACTGGAAATTGGAGAAGCTCGAGGCCGTCGACCAAAAACTAATAAACTAAATAAACCTTCCTCCCCTTTTTCCTCCTCTTTAACCCTAACTTTATTGTACTGGGCCTTGGACGGCAAATTCGATTTTGGGGACTTTTGCGATGAGGGTTGGCGTTGTGGTCGGGTATTACAAAGATAGACGCAGGTGCAGATGCAGACGCGACCAAGTGGAATTAAAGCGAGTGAGGATTCTGCAGGTAACGGGGAGACGAACAAAACGGCCGTTGCAAGTGGTTGGTCCGGGCGTGGGCGTGGGCGTGGGTGTGGATGTGGATGCTGGTACTGGTGCTGGTGCTGGTGCTGGTGCTGGTGCTGGTGCTGCTGGCTAGTTCTGTAGTGGTAATTCGGGACTTCCAGCGCTAATATGGAACACCACAGTGGCATGCTGGCCCTGTTTGACAGCCTTTTGACAAGTGACGTTACACGGAGCGTCGGGATATCGGAATATCGGAATGTCGTATTATTGCATGAAATTGTTAAGAGGTACGTACTTCACCTTTACTTGCTTCCACTCTTTCTCTTTCTCTTTCTCGCCTTCAACAATCAACTGATCAGAACGAGTGTCATTAACAACAAATTGCATCGTCTGCTCTGGTCCCTTGGCTTTATATCGATATATACTGCTTTTTATTCCTTTGGGGGCCGCTATCGTGGTTGCGTATTCTTTTCTTTTAATATCTTGAAAAGGGCGTCATTCCTGACTGTTGTTAATTTTGGCTATTGTCACACTCGAGTTGCTGCTCGATTTGCCTTAGGAATGGATGTTGGCAGATTTCTGCCTCGGGGCGTGTGTCTAAGTGCCTGATATATATTGCTGATGGGAAAAAGGAACATCGACGAACAGAACCCTCAGGTAAATTATCAATGAGCAAAGGGAGGGATTAAGCAAACTTTGGAAAACATATATGTGAGAGAAAAAGACGGTGCTTCTTTTCGTCATCCGCCTTTCCAATAGTGACCCTCCGTAGCCCTGGATACCAACCAGCCCAGCAAGTCAGCTACTAAGAAAAGAACAAGGCTTTAAATTGCTTTATTTTGCGGAGCTTTTTTTCTTCTTTCGAACCTATCATCGCCTATCAAAGCGCAGCTCAGCTAAAATGGTCAGGCTTGCAAGCTATTCAGGGGCATCCTCGTCACTCATCGTTCCATCTAGTTTCTGGCGCAGTGCCACGGATTGCGCTGAGCCTGGTCTGGCCATGGGGGCTGCTTGCGACCCGACCGAGTGGAATAAACGGGCCAAAATTTTATCTT